TGCAGTCACAACCAGATATTCTTATCCACAATTACTTTCCCTTATCCCTTAAATCACCATAAAACTGACAACATTTAAATTAATTACCCATGGACTCTGTGTTTTTTCAGCAGATTATTTCAGTGTCTATTAAAAAAAAACAAAAAAAATAAAAATAAATAAAAAAGAAATCCCCAGAAACATTAAACATTTAACATAGTCTATTACCTTTCAATGCCTGGCAGTTGAAAGTTATTTATACCAGAATGTATTCAGCCTGAACATCCTATGGATGTTTCAGCTCATTATTTTGTTCATATTAGCTTAAATTACTGCAACTAATCACATTCAAGGAACCTGTAGATATTTAGAAAGCATTTAACCCTGTTTTACACATTGTAGCATTCAATTCATCTACAACCTAAAGAAACATTTTAAAACTATTTTTACATCACAGCATAATAAGTTTTAGTTTCGTCTAATCTCATAACTGCATTTTCAGTTAATTCTTATCCTCTCCCCATTGAAAGTTCTTTAATCTCTAAGAATAACCAGCTTGCCGCGGATTACCCCCATTAAAACTCCCTTGTCAGACTTTGTAGCCTTGAATTTTAGCGAATGAGAGAACCTTGTGTGTCCTACGAGTCCTTAACCATGTGTGTGGGTATGTTAGTAAGTGAATGTATGTATGTGTGTGTTTGTGAATCTATGTGAGTGGATCTATATGAGAGAAACTGGTCAGGAGCCATACTGCTACTGGTCTTGGAATAGAAAGTATCTTGGAGCAGTGATCCTCTCCAACATGCAAAACAGTTCAATGTTAGGCAGGTTACCCTCCGTTACCACAGCAGCTTTGAACCATAAGAGTCTTGGGGCCCATGTGTCCCCACACCCCCTGAAGGATAAGTCTTTACCTGTGTCATCAGCAGCATCAGATAGAGGCAGAAGGAAACAGAGCGTCAAAAAGGTGTTCCTCCCTCCAAGAGGAAATGTCATACTGAATTGTTCATCTGCTCAGAGCACAAGAGTGTAGTCTGACTTGCTTCTGTGTTTCCAAAACTTGGCAGTTCACAGTTCCTGAAAATGCTGAATTCGACCGCAACTCCTCTATGCAAAGTGTCCATTTAAAATATTCTCCAAAATAAAAGTGCTCCACTGATATTCCCCATTATTAAAATATTTGGTGGGGGTAGTTCTCTACCCACGCTGAAAGTGTAAACACAAACAAAAAATTACCTTACACCTTACAACAGCAACCCCAGAGCTCCTTCTAAATCCTGTAAAATTCAAATCATATTAATGTCACATCAAAAAAAATATTCTAGTTAATTTCAAAATGCACCATACACATTCTAAGAAATAAATGAATACATTCCTCATCACTCCCCCCCTGGCCTGCTACCTTATCGTGATGGAGAGGTTTGAGTGTCCCAATGACCTTAGGAGCTATGCTGTCTGGGGGCTTTATGCCCCTGGTAGGGTCACCCAAAGTAGACAGGTCCCAGGTGAGGGACCAGATAAAAAGCAGCCCAAAGACCTCTTATGACGAATAAAATAAATGGACCTAGTGTTCCCTCACCCGGACGCGGGTCACCCACTCTGGAGCCAGGCCTGGAGGTGGGGCAAAAACGCCTGGTGGAGGGACTTGTACCCATGGAGCCCGGCCGAGCACAGCCCGCAGAGGAAACATGGGTCCCCCTTCCAGTGGGCTCACCACCTGTCGAAAAGGCCCAAAGGGGTCGGGTGAAATATGTGAGGGGTGGCAGTCGAGGGCCAGGGACGTTGGCATTGGGAATATGAAGATCGATAGGTGGATTGGTGCGCTGTCTGCTGTAAAATGAGCACCGTACAGGTCTGTTGTGGTGAAGAGAGAGCTGAGCCAAGAAGCAAAGCTCTCGATTTATCGGTCTTATCTATGTTCCTACCCTCATCTATTGTCATGAGCTTTGGGTCATGACGAATGAGATCCCGGATACAAGCGGCGGTAATGAGTTTTCTCCACAGTGTGTCTGGGCTCTACCTTAGAGATAGGGTGAGGAGCTCGGTCATCCGGGGAGGACTCAGAGTAGAGCCGCTGCTCCTCCACATCGAGAGGAGCCAGTTGAGGTGGCTCGGGCATCTGGTTAGGATGCCTCCTGTACATCTCCCTGGTGAGGTGTTCCAGGCACGTCCCACCAGGAGGAGGGCCAGGGGGAGACCCAGGACACGCTGGAGGAACTATGTTTCTCGGCTGGACTGGGAACACCTTGGGATTCCCCCGTAGGAGCTGGCCCAAGTGGCTGGGGAGAAGGACGTCTGGGCCTCCCTACTGAAGCCCCTACCCCCATGACCCGACCCCGGATAAGCAGAAAAAGATGGATGGATGGATGGATTCATTATCAGCTGCCCTTTTTTATTTTAGTCATCCAGCTATCTTTAATCCCATAACCTATCTTTTGTCAATAATAATTTTTAAAGTGGACCTGTTACGGTTCAGGCTACTTTAGGTAAGATGTTCTTGAAGACATCTTATCAATTTATCAGCCTATAGCCTGTTACTACTATTTGAGATTAGTTTATCTTGTAAATAGTAAAAATAGCTCAGTCATGACATCTTCTCATTCATTTGGGTTATCTTTGTTATTACTAAAAAAGAACAGAGTACCTATTATTTCATTTAATTTTTTCTGGGAGCCCCTTAATACCTCATTTATTAAAGTCATTTCACTGTATACAGCTGCAACATGCGTCCACGTCTCTATCCACAGAGATAGAGAGATAGAGTAGAGAGAGAGAGCTTGAAAAAACAAGGAAGATGAAGAGCACATTTAAAAATATATATTTCAGTCACATATTCTGACAAATAAACATCAATAATCATGCGCATACATTGTTTTTTCCTTTTTTCAGGCTTCAAAAATATTTTCTAGTTTCTGCCTCAGCCTCCATTAGTAATGAATAATGTCCTATACTGCTAATAGAAAATTATTCATATTTGGCTTGTATTTGCCTGAAGCGGCTTGTTGAGTAGCATTTGTAAATAATGTATATTTAATGTTATCTTATGCCTTGAAATTGTGGCTTACAATTTATCAGCCCTTCTGGCGCATGTTTTCATTACTGTGAATCATGTACCTCACATCTTCCAGGTTATGCTGCTCTCTATTAAATTTAAAAAAAGGATTGCATTTATTAAAAGGGAGGTCTAATCCATTTGGAACATGCCTATAGCTGACTCTAAAGAGGAAGCCGGAGTACCAAGAGAGAACCTCAGACATGCAGACAGACCTTAGGCTAGGTATCAACCCAGGACCTTCTTTCTGAAAGGCAACAGTGCAACAAACTGCTCTACCATGCAGCCCTGTTAATTCACCCAATAATAGACATTTGCAAAAGTAGAGGTTTTAAGACCCAAAGCAACAAATATTTAAAATTGCTATTGTAATGTAATGCAATGTCAATTGTTCAAACCTAGGCAGCCAGGAAAAAACACATCTATTAATTCAACCTTGGAGTTTAAGCTCAGTTAGACTGTAAGCAAAATGGATTTTCGGGAGATTTGTGAATTCGCAAAGACCCGAAAATACATCTTGTCAGAAGCCAACAGATGCATTAACCTCGATACAGTCCAGTGAAATGCAGTGACTTACAGAAGGCTGGACTAAATCAACCACG